GCTGCCATTTCAAGCGAAATAATAAATGAGGTACCTATCAAAAGCAGACAATACATATATTAACTAGAAAGTTAGGCAATTAGCAGCGAGAACATAAAAAGCGGACGCCCGCTGTATTATTGACAACGTCATCCATTTGAAAAGTCCCATTAACCGCAGTGAAGGAAGCTATAGCGATATAGTTTAGGTCCTGCAAACGTAATGGGAAAGTTCGTGCATTATATTCCAAACTATCAAAGCAGAAACTGTAATCAATAATGTTACCGTGCGAAATCATTCTAATTGATATCTAGTCATTTAATACACATACAGAATTTCATTTAAACTAGGTATTTTAAATAGGTGCAAATCAAGGTTTGAAATAAATTGATCAAAAATCAAATCAAATTGGAGAATAGTAGACAAAGATGACAGCCACAGAAATACAATCATTTCTATAGTCAAAGAAAATATTTTAACGCCTAGTCGTCACCCAAATTTATATTGTTGCCGGTTATCTCTATAATAATTATAATAAGCATTTATTTCTCGCCACAAAACAGGATCCATAAACAGATAAGTAGGAAATAGAACTAAAATATTAAGTCCTGTCATGACGAGAATAGTGCCTGATGTGGGTTTCGTAAAAAACCTGTAAACACAAGCTAGGCACGCTAAGGCCCCTTTATAGATAACCAAAGAAAAATGATTAGGTGGTTCCTTTTACATATATTTTTTTGTGAAACTTTATAATAGACACAAAAGAAAAATGAAATATGTTTATAACAGTATTCGCAGATAGAACTAATAGGAAGTAAAAATCCGTCCATATGTAAACGGAGTTTATGTGACACAATCCGATATTGTATATAGTCGTACAATACTTTAATACAATCCCTAGGAATAATATAATACATTCTACTACTACTGAGTATTGTATAAAACACCTGAATTTATAATTTATAATTCAAGTGTATTAAATTGCTGATAAAATTTACATGCATTTGACATGCTTTTCTTTCACTGCGTCTTCACTACGAGGTTAATCTTCAGCTTTGAAAACTCGTCTCGTTTTTCTTTTGCGATCGATCAGCCAGATCGGATACGGTCTGACCTGACGGGTATGGAGGGCGGGTAGAGGAGCTACCACTTACCACCAGAAAGATACTACGTGATGCCCTTTAAATTATGTTGCCGTTACCCTAAGGGAGTAGGGGTCGGGGTGGAAGGAGACGGTGGTGGAACTAAATGGTCGGAGGGGACAGGAAGGGGATCTGAGTTCCAGGTTGGTTTGGACGGGGTATTGGTGAGAACTGATTTGGGCCTACAGGCGAGAGGGGAGGAGGCGGGCGGCACGTACATACATAGTCCGTGGCAGAACGTATGAGGGACCAGCCCTGTGATTCTGTAAAAATTCAAACCCCAGTTCGAACTCGCTCAGGTGATAGCTCCATAGAACAACCCGGCTTATATTAAGTACTTACATAATGAATTCGCTTTGTGAGAACGGTAAAAATACTATTAAAATATTTTGTAGAATTTGTATAATTATTGTGTTACCGTTTCCAGTCGTAATTTCAATGAGGATAGCAGCTAACTCTTAATTTTGTTGTCATTTTCAAGTGCTTTTTAAAACATTTTTTGACTTGATGACTCAGTCGTAATTTTTATAAAATCAGCCTAAAACAAATCTAATACGCCCACAGAGGGTCCCTTAAACAACATAAAAGATCATAAACTATTCAAGCACCTAACATTTATTAAAAACTTAAGTGTCAAATTTGTCATTAAAAACTGCCCCAGAAATGGGAACATTAATAGACTGTTAAGGATCATGATCATTAGCCTTTTTTGTCCCCACCGCTGGTTCACAGGCCTTCCTTATGGATGGGGTTGAATCAAATCGAAAAAGAAGAGCGTGAGTCCGAAACACGGAGAAACTCATAATAATAAATTTTCGGTCACCCATCCTATACCTTTGCGGAAGTTGCTTAATTTCCGCATCACAGACCGAATGCTCTAACTATCGAGTATTATAGACTTACTTAATTAACCGACAAACAGACGGACAAACATATAAAATTATTATCACGTTCATAATATTACATAAATGTGGAGGTAACTTTGTCTGTCTGTGCGTGTCTGTCGATTATATTTTCAAGCTGAAACCACTTTAACGAAATTTGGTACATAGATACTTTTATCGAGAAGAAAGTGGTTGGAACGGTGAAAGTATAGGGGATGTTATTTTTATGGTCTATTCCACGCGGACGCAGTCGCGGGCAAAAACAATTAATCTCTAATTAAGTAAACTAACGTAAATAAAACACCATATAATTGCCAAATATTTACAACTAAAATTTATTTAACATATTACCTACCAAATTCTTTTACAAACATCAACATATCAGAAACCTTATCATTAATGAACATTTAGCACCGCTCTTACACAGCAATTGAATTACAAGACAACAATTAAATATGTTACCTTAGAACTATATTATACATATAATTATATTCACCACAATTACTTATTAGTACCTACCTACTTCAAAATGTTACAATTTCTCAAAATATATAAGTACATATCATGTTTGAACCTAACAATATTATTTACAGAATGAAATCGCCTTTTTTGTTAACGCGAAAGAAATGCAAATTTTTGTCTATAAATCAGGATTCTTCAACCACTAGGACCTGCCTCGAAGAGCAAGGTCAAGGTGTGCTAATTAATAAAAGCCGCTTGGATTCCCCTCGCGGGAGGGGCAGAATCCGGAATCCAGCAAGGAGGGCACCGCAGCTACGATTCTAGCTATAGCTACTATATAACGGTTTATTGATTTCATTTATTAATGTTATTGTTTAATTGCAATTTGTTTTACTATTTATATAAAATATTTTTATGTATATGTTTTTTTAAACTTTCAATAGTAATTCCCAAACTATCGGGGACACGATAAAAATAATGTTCACTCAACAGCATGTCAGACTATACAAATCTGTCAAATTTCTTTGATTTTAAACCTTACTGCTCCGAGGTTAACATTTAAAATAAATTGAAGTAATTGACATATTCTGACACAATATTGAAAAAGCTAAACTACACAATATTAATAACTCACACTATTTTCAATAAACTACGTCTATTTTTGATAATGGAAATAATTTAACAAACAATGTTAAAACATTTCTAAAAACAAAATTTAACACATTTCCAAACAAAGCTAATTCAACTTCAACTTTTTAAAGGGGTAATTAAAAATTTATTACATATAACTTTCATTAGCTTTTAATTCAGATATTATTAAATATTGAATAATAACACTTATTCCGTTCTTAAGAGACAATAGTTATAAACCTCACTATATAACAAATAATGCCAATGGTAAGTAATAGTATAAAACCACGCCAGTCCAACAATATATACGCAGATATCTTCAAACCTAGATACATAACGGACATTAATGTGATTTTCATCAATATACAAGTTGTTTCAATTGGGAGGTTTATATGTATAATAGTGTTAAATAAAATAGTTATTCACAAAACAATGTCACTCTTGTTTTGTAAATAACAGTGAAATAATATTTTATTGGGTACACAGGTACTTGAACGTATAATCATATACATTACCAGTTTATTTAAATTACAAAATAAAATATAAATTTAAGCTACAAAATAGCATAATCTCATAAAATTTCTATGAAAACATTTTCTCGTTAGGAAGAACCCTTGCAAGTAATCAACCATTAAGGTCATTAGGCAATCTGAACATAGGCCTCGATAAGAAGCCCGCCGATAAATGGGCCCCCAAAACTGGAGTAATAATGAGAAAACCATTCACTCCCCAAAGATGAACGATTTTTCGTGATATTGGAAGCCGAAAATCGAGAACATTAAGCAAAATGAAACAAACATTTTTAGACTGTATTCTGATTATATGTTTATTTCGTATAATATATCAACTTATATTTGAAAACGGTAACTCGTTCGTATTTTATATTAGTTGATTAAATACTCATCACAAAACTTTTATACTGTAACACAATATTTTATATATATTTAGGGAAAATAGAATAAAGTTCATATTCGTTTTAATACCTATGCAGTTATTCTTATTTCAATATGCGGCCCGTCAACAAACTCATCTGAATCTTTTAATGGTGGTGCTTTTGTTTTTCCCACTATTACGTGAACGTAATAGGGCCATGCCAGGCAAAAACATATTATTTGTGTTGTTCGATTGATTTTTCACTTTGTTAAGTCTGTTTTATATTCATTAATACAACAAACAAGTAAAAAAGTTAAAAGTATTAAAACAAGCTTTTATTTGGTGTATTTTATTCTACAAGTGAAACCCTTTCATATGATAAATATGTACGCTGCCATTTTATTACGGGGGCCATTTTGAATTAATTATAATAATATGCTTTATGTATATTTCAAATCTCAGCTTAAAGGAGAGAGAGAGAGAGTGAGAGAGGATAAAATTTTGCTTGCAAGACTTGATTACAAAACGACAAACATTAACAACAGATGGAACTAAATAAAAGCTTGTAAAAACGACTTTGATATCTTCTACATGACTTATGCATAAATAATATTATAATGTAATAATTATTTGATAAAAAATAGTGAAAAATCTTTCAAACCTACCTACATATTTACAATTCAAACTACCAAACCTTTACCATCTTCATTTTACCTGATTGAAAAGCAGAATATTTCTTAGTCATAATACATATAGGACTATAATCTTATAATAAAAATGCAATACAAATGCACAATATTGCGAAATATAAGTCTACCCTCACTATAATCGTTTATTTATAGGATTTACCTATTTAATTAACACATTTCAGAAAATAACACACTCTTATCACTTTTTCATAATTGTCATTTTATCACTGACGCATTAACAGGCACTGTTAAATAAGTTTCTATTTTTTATTTTTATTTTACAGTCACTTTCATTTCAATTTGTTCTCACTTATTGTACACACATAAATGTTCCATCACTGTCACCTACACGCGCGGCACCGGCGGGCATACTCGGGCGCAACTTGGTGCAGCCACTGCGGCTGTATAGTAGACACGGTTACTAAGTAAGCGCGTCGCGTTTGCAACAGTTCCGTGTACAAGACAGCGGGGGGCAGGGGGCGTGTGGAGTGCAACACCCCCGCGGGATGCAGCGACGCCGCCGCCCCCGCCGCGGTAACGTACCGGCCCCCCAGCGAGCCCCCTGCCCCCCCACTACCTCCAGACCCGCCCGCCCCGCTACGTAACCACGCGCAATTTGTGAAAAGACCGCACAGCAAACACTTTAGAAGCTGCAAAGAATACAACCGTTTAACATTTTATTTTGTAATAATAACTGAAATCTTAATATCACTCGTACGAATTAACATGACAAATATTCTATTTCCACCTCAAGGCTTATTATATTGCCCCGAACGCGAAGTCTCGTCTATTTTTGAAATGCTAATACGACTTCAAAGAAATGCATTTTTCGATCATTTATAATGCAACGGATGTAGGGAGCTGACACTGTCTCTGATAGACAATAATCTTCACGAATATGAATTAACAACACTATAAGAATGTTTCTAAATTTTCCGAATTTTCGTTCGAGAACTAATAAAATAGACCCTCAGGTGTTATGTTAATTGTATGTTAAAAAAGTAAATAATACGCGGATCAATACACGAAAAAATAATTCATATTCTACGCCATATCGATATGGTTATGTATATTACAACAACAGGTCTACCGTGTATAACAAGATACGATAATGTTGCTCACCGATATAGCTAAAGCTAAATTTCAAATCACAGCAAATATCGGCAAATCAGAATAATGCTCGTAGCCCGCCATTAGGCCATCCGCGCCCCTGACCTTCGTTGCGAGCGAGTGAGATGGATTTTTACCTAAAGCATTGGATTTTTCACCTTCTTGTTATTGATACAAAATTGATATAGGTAATTTTTAATCATACAGCCTGTCACTGTCGGTATGGTAGCAAGTTTAAATGCCTGAAATTGGTTTAGATAGGTATGCTTTACTAAGACCAATTAAAAGGGGCTACAAACATCAAAATCACCCTGAAGTTCTTATCGAAAGGAAGTTACACGGCAGACCCACAGTATAAACAACGAAACGAAAGAACGTTTTAAAAGTAAAGCCAGAGTAGGATTCGGCCTAGCACACCAGTATCGTAACGTTGATAAAACAATATACAATACTTTCACAACAATACAACTTCTTCCATCTACTCTCCGAAAGCTAAAATCAATAAATACCTGGTCTAAAGCGGTCCCGCAACTGGACACTGTCAAGTTTAACCTTTGACATATAGTCAACAGCTGATGACGTATCTCAGAAGCATGTATCAAATTTTTATGATTGAGGTAGTTTTCTTTACACCATTGCTGTAATAAATATATACTATTGTATAAATAAAAAATCACGTTTAAAAATAACCGACAGTACGAGCCTGCAGAATAGTAGCTTACCTTTTTCAAAGGTGCCTTACAAAAGGCCTTGAACACATTCAAAAGAGTTACATGATCACCTAAAGCCGATATAAACTTCTGTTTCACTTTCAATGCTTCCTCTCTTTTGTGCATAGGCGTGTGAAACACATTTTCGCTTGATAAAACAGCTACCAAACTTAAAGCCTAAAAATAAATAATATTATTATCGATACAAAACTTGCATCTTGTGAATGAAATAGAAAAATAATAATATCAATTATATAATTCATTCGAAAGTAATACCTCATCCAAACATCCATATTCCGGGGCACTTAGAAGAATCTTGGAATATTTAGGATCTATTGGAAAAGCTGACATTCTTTTTCCTAATGGAGTAAGCTTTGTATTGAGTTCACTGTCTATAGCACCTAAAATAAACGGTTAATTATATTATTTTAATTGTCCGTTACATTAAATTATGTGTATGTGTCTAACTCATATTTTTAATTCAATCATAGCTTACCTAATTCTTTCAATAAAACTAAGGAAGCTTTTATAGAATCGGTTGGTGGCGCATCAATCAATGGAAATGTATTTGGATCCATGCCTGCAGCAATCAACAGTAGTATAGTTGGGGCTAAAGGACACCTGCAAACATATACTATTTAAATAATTTGCTTCAAATGCATTTTACTGTTGCTATTATATAATCGTTACATCATTCGATGTCTCTTCGATTTGAGTACAATTTAAATACGACTTCAAATCGACGACGGGTAGTTACAGGCGATAAATTAATTTGGAATGTCTAGTGACATGAAGTACTTAATGAGTATGTTGCGTGAAAGTCCGATCCTTAAAGTTCGTTGTGTTAGAGTAATTACTACTCGTACAAATTAACACGACACTTGAAGGCCTATTCTATTTCTACGTAAACGAAATTTCAGCAAGCTTTTCCAATGTATTATTCTGATAGGGTAAATTTTGTTTATATATTTTTTATTACCACATCACTAAAAACTTAAAATCCCAAACGTCACCGTACCCATGCTATATGAAAAAGACTATAGGAGATAGTTATTTTGTGACTAGTCACTCAAGCTATTTAACTGCCTCAATAGAGTTTTCGAGTCAATTGTGTTAAAAAATTGCAAACATACTACTCAAGTGAGATTTCTTTCAGTAATTTTAAACAAATACCTAAAAATATATATATAAAATACACATTAAAAGAGTTTTGACATATTACTTATTTATGTAATCAAGAAAAAAAATCATTTATTTATCTATAAATAAATTAAGAGTAACAAAGTGACATCTACTGGCCAAAAAATTAACTCAAAGTGCCTTGTGGACTCAATAACTCGAGTGCATAGACTCGAGTGATATTTTAAATTCAATCGATTGACTCAAGTAAAAACAAAGGTCGAGTCGCATCACTAATAGAAGAATGTAAAATACCTGACGATCTCCGGCGTGTTGTGTGGCGGGCGCGCCTTGAAGTCAGTGGCGGTGTAGAGACGGTAGGCGGAGCCGGGGGAGGTGCGGCCCGCGCGGCCCGCCCGCTGCCAGCACGCAGCGCCTGCACAACTGTTCACGCGCAGACGCTCCGCCCCCGTGCGAGTGCACCACGTTCTAACACCAAACGTAACACTCACACTTCAACATTGTTCCGTTGACAATTGAGGATCAACGGCAATTAAATAAAAAAATAAATTGCAAATGAAAAAAAATAAAGTTTAAAGATCATTATCGGAATAATATTTTGTAAATAACAATTATTTCTATTTTTTTAATCAATAAACTTATAATTTTCAATATTTCTAGTCTGTGTGTCACGTCAAATAAAACACTGATCAATCTTCACAGTTTTAACTTAATAATAAGAGTGATTCAAGACATACATACATTTATATTAAATAAAAATATTGTTACTTTTATTGCATGAAATACGTAAACCATAATAACTATGCTATTTTTATAATCACCTTTCTTTTACAAATCCTGTATCAATGACACATTTTATATGAGGTATTGTTACCGAGGCCTCCGCAATGTTGGTGGCTAAGATAACTTTGCGAGTATCCTGAGGTGAATCTTTCCAAACCTGTAATTGCTTTGCAGCAGGCAAGCCTGCGTATAGCGGACACACTCTGATTGGGGGTCCTGGAGCTTCCTGTAATGTTAATTTTATTATAAAATAAGATGTTTAAAAATGGATCTCATTGATTTCTCTATTACATCAAACTTACTTTTGTAATTTGTTTGATATTATACATGACTGTTTCAATTTCTTCTTGACCTGTTAAGAATACAAGAAAGTGATGCCTGGAAAAATAGATTATATACTGTATAACGTTTTAAAAATCGCAAATAGAAAAACTTTTTAACTGACTTTGAAATCAAAAATGAGGAATCATAAGTTCCTCAACAATGTATGATTTTTCAACCAATAGTGGACCGATTTTAAAAAATCTTTTTTGTTCTACATTAAGGAAGATGGACCAAATATGTTTAATGTTAACATATCGCCGAGAATGTATGGGCGAATGTCATACATATAATATAGTTCATCACTTCAAAAGATCCATGACCAATAAGACATGACACATCTTTCATCAAATATGCACTAATTTTTTATTTTATATGAAAGTATAACTCACTCTGGAGGCAATGTAGCATGTAGTTGGAATATTGTACACAGAGCTGCATACTGGTAGTCTTCTTGCTTTACTTTCGAATGATATATAGTCACTGGGTAAGATCTACCTTCTAAATAGATAACCGGACAGTTATCATAATATTTCCGAAACGTATCTACATCCATAGTCGCCGACATAATGATTACCTGAAAATATTTAACATACAATACAACAAAAGAAGTTTATGCCTCTGTTTTTTAAGAAATATTTGTCAATTTATTTAGTTTAGTGTAAAAATAAAAAGTAATTCAACTTTTCTAAAGCACAGATATCATAATACTAGTCTATTAATAGAACTGACAAAAAAACGGAAAAGACTCAAAGTATTATGGGATTTTGATAGTAAGCAATAAATATAACTAGCCATTGAACTCTGTAGTACCTACTGCCCATCATTGTATGTGATGGGATCAGCAACCTATTACGTGTCAGCAACAAAATGCAGTACTTCATTAAATATGCACATTTAATTTTAAAACATCATATTCACATTCAAATTTAATATCATTTATTCAGTCTAGGCTATTACAAGCACTTGTAAAAGTCGAAAACTATGCCATCAGTTCACAAATCTGCGGCGAGAACCTGAAGAACCGGCATGAAACTCAGCAAGGGCTTTTGCTGTGGCTTCAATAGACTATGAAGTCACTTTCAATTACAATCTCAGAAATAACAAAAAAGATATTTTTCAATTACTAATTAATATGCCAGTTGCAGAGTCACTGACAAATCAATATACAGTATTCGTAATAAAAGAAAATGGATGAAATTAAGTAGTCCTGAGCAGACTGATTCCCATCAGCAGTGCCTGTTCACTAGTATGATGTATAAGCCAGCCATTGTCATATGTTAAGAAATATATGATCATTTAAACATTTGTTGTTACAAATTGCCGTCTATAATAATTTTTGTACATTAAAAATAAAATGTTTATATTGAAACCACATGCCTGCTCTCGAAGGAAGTTTGAAATCTATATAGCTATTTTTATAATGTAGATGATGAATAAAAATTCACCGTTTTATCCTTATGATGATGGTCCACCTGAAGAATTTATCCAATTTATTTGTTAAAAATCACATTACTGTCTTACCTTTAATGCACTTAATTTTTGAATGGTCCTTTCTTTTTGTGCCAATTTTACAATTCCAAATAAAATATCTGTATTTACAGTGCGTTCATGTGCTTCATCCAATATGATAACAGTATATTTTTTTAATAAAGGATCTATGATTGCTTCTCTTAACAACATTCCATCTGTTAAATATTTTACTTTTGTTTTGGCACTGGTCACATCTTCAAATCTTACAGAATACCTGGACATGATAGAGAAATTTCATGAAAATATTACTTAAAATAAGTAAACATCCATAACTGAGTAAGCATGAAGGGAAAAACCATTATCAACAAACTGAGCACACCCTATCTATTTAAATAGATAGGGTGTGCTCAGTAATAGTAGTTCCATAATAGTAAATACTAAAAGTAGTTCCATATTTTAATAAGGTACCTGTAGCAATTAATTTCTGCATTGTAATGAGACCACTGATGAAATATCATGCTTATATCAACATCAAAAGGTATTTAACAGCAAATATAATTTTATTTATAAAATGCATGTGTAAGTAAAGTTTGAACATGAAAAGAAATATTTTAGGATATTTCAATGATGGACCTTATTACAATGCAGGCTTAGTTGCTATAAGTAACTTAACACTCCAATGCCTACATCCATACCTTTTATGACATAACATCATGCTACCTATCATGGTTGTTCAAGTGTACGCACCGACCTCGACACACTCGGACGATGAAGTGGAGAATATGTACGATGATATATCGAGGGCACTCCACTTCACTACTAAGACCCACTACAGCGTTGTTATGGGGGACTTTAACGCTAAAGTGGGAGTACAAAATTGCGGCGAATCGGTAGTAGGATCCCATGGATTTGGAAGCAGGAATGATAGGGGGCAAATGCTCGTTAACTTCCTCGAACGGGAGGGGCTCTTCCTTATGAACTCGTTCTTTAAGAAACAGCCCCAAAGGAAGTGGACGTGGCAAAGCCCCGACAATGTGACAAAAAATGAGATCGACTTCATTATAACTGACAAAAAGCACGTATTCAGAGATGTCTCCGTGATCAATAGGTTTAACACCGGCAGCGATCACCGACTTGTCCGAGGCTCTCTGAATATCAACTTCAAAGCTGAACGTGTCCGCTTGATGAAGGCCAGGCTCCGACCTACTCCTCTCCAAACCATGATGGAATCTGAAACGTTTCAGTCAAATCTTGAGAACCGATTCGCTGCCATGGAAACCACAATTGACGTTGACGAGAAACTTGAAAATGTGGTTCGAATACTCAGGGAAGAAGGTACGAAATTTTGTAGCATGCAGCGTAAGGGCGGGAAGTCTAAGCTCTCCGATAGAACTTTGGGGCTAATGAAGGAACGACGTGAAAACCCACCTGTCACTTCGTCAGGAAAACGTGCACAAAACCAGGAGATCAGCAAACGCTTACGATATGACCTCCGGTGCTCCAACACTCACGCTATAGAAAGAGCGATCGAGCAAAACAGGGGGTCAAAAGTATTCGTACAATCTCTTGGAAGAAACCACTTGACGAAGTTGACCACAGCAAGCGGGGAAGTCGTTGCTTCGAAGCCAGCGGTCCTCTCGGAGGTGGAAAATTTCTATGCCCGGTTATACGCTTCGCATGCATCTCGACCTGATCCCGGAAATGAGGATTCTAGAGCCACATTAACACGCCACTACACCGAAGATCTGCCAGAAGTCAGCATTGGCGAAATCGAGATCGCTCTGAGACAGCTTAAAAATGGAAAAGCCCCTGGAGAGGATGGCATTACAACTGAATTATTAAAAGCAGGAGGTAAACCAGTACTGAAGGAGCTCCAAAAGCTTTTTAATGCTGTCCTCTTCGAAGGGAGAACTCCGCAGGCGTGGAGTAGGAGTGTTGTCGTCCTGTTCTTCAAAAAGGGAGACAAAACCCTGCTGAAGAACTATCGACCCATTTCCCTTCTAAGCCACGTCTATAAGCTGTTTTCTAGAGTAGTCACGAACCGTCTTGCGCAAAGACTTGACGAATTCCAACCACTGGAGCAGGCTGGGTTTCGGAGTGGATACGGCACCATAGACCACATCCACACAGTGCGGCAGATTATACAGAAGACTGAAGAGTATAATCAGCCCCTGTGTCTAGCATTTGTGGACTATGAGAAGGCCTTTGACTCGATTGAGATCTGGTCCGTTCTGGAGTCCCTGCAGCGATGCCAAGTCGATTGGCGATACATCCAAGTGATAAGATGTATTTATGAGGCCGCCACCATGACCGTCCAAGTACAGAATCAGCAAACAAGTCCTATACCGTTGCATCGAGGAGTGAGACAAGGAGACGTTATGTCTCCGAAATTGTTTACTAATGCAATGGAGGATATGTTTAAGACGCTGAACTGGAAAGGACGTGGCATCAACATCAATGGCGAGTACATCTCTCACTTGAGATTTGCTGACGACATCGTCATCATGGCAGAAAATCTGCAGGACCTACAACAGATGCTGAATGACCTGGCTGACTCTTCTATGCGCATCGGCCTACGGATGAACTTGGATAAAACCAAGGTCATGTTCAACGAACACGTACTACCGGAACCGATTGCAGTATGTGGTGCCGTTCTCGGAATTGTTCCAAAATATGTATACCTCGGGCAAACATTGCAGTTAGGTAGAAACAACTTCGAGAGCGAGGTAAATAGAAGAGTTCGGCTAGGTTGGGCAGCGTTTGGGAAACTACGTCGAGTCTTTACATCGTCGATCCCGCAGTGCCTAAAGACAAAAGTCTTTAATCAGTGCGTCCTACCCGTTATGACATACGGAGCCGAAACGTGGACACTGACGGCACGGCTGGTCCACAAGTTGAAGGTCGCTCAGCGCGCTATGGAAAGGGCTATGCTCGGCGTTTCTCTGCGGGATCGAATCAAAAATGAGGTGATCCGGCAGAGAACCAAGGTTATCGACATAGCCCACCGGATTAGCAAGCTGAAGTGGCAGTGGGCTGGCCATATTAGCCGCAGAACCGATAACCGTTGGGGTAAACGAGTTCTTGAGTGGAGACCGCGTCTCGGCAAACGTAGTGTAGGACGTCCTCAGGCGCGGTGGAGCGATGATTTGCGCAAGATGGCTGGCAGGAGCTGGATGCGAACAGCCGAAAATCGAAATAGATGGCGTGCAATTGGGGAGCCCTATGTCCAGCAGTGGACGAATATGGGCTGATGATGATGATGATGATGATCATGCTACCTTAATATAATTTTGTGATATAATAAAATATTTATTATTGCCAAACATAAAACAATATTTAATTAGTGTTCTTTATTGAATATGTGAAAACTATATAAACCAAAGTAATGTTATGAGCAGTTTTATAACAAATAATGTAGATACTTAAGTCTATGAACAGTTATCTTTCTTAGATTATTACATCACACTTAGTGCTAATTACAAAAACAAAATCAATATAAATTTATCAATAATATCGGTTAAAATACATAAGTATTTATTATTTAACACTTATCAATTTTTTATCTACATGCACAAATTTTAATTATAAGCTCGGAGAATCACAGCTAAAAGTCCATGTAATTGCATATCTATTTAACCGATGGCATAGAATCAAATCTCCATTGTAATAACATTTAATTTACCCAACATATCCACCAATTTCTGTATTCATCTCAGCCGCTACTCTCAGAGCAATTGTAATTGTGGCCACTCTTCGCGGCTGTGTGATAGCTATAGTTCCTAATCCTTCTAATCTCGCTTCATGAATTATTTGAGGAACTTGTGTAGTTTTGCCGCTTCCGGTTTCTCCGATCAATATCATGGTTGTATTTTTTTTTATTTCTTCTAACAATCTGTAATAGAAGATAGTGAAAATCTAAATTCAGATTCAGCTAAAATAGTAAAATTTTGTTAATTCAAATACATACTTAATTTTTGTTAGGATACCACTGAGGCCAAAATCTAAATATTAAATGTTAGACCTGAAAGATTAAGATAAACATAATTTAGAACTTACCTTGAACGAACTACGTAAACAGGCAATCTTTTTCGGGCCTCCTGTACATCATTTAGAGTTAACTCCTTAGCATTTTCCCTAGAGCTTTTATCATTTATAGTGCCATTATGCTGAGAAACATATTCTCTTTCGCATATTTTTACTTTTTTGACATTATTTTCCACTGGCCTATTCTCAAGTTTTCTTTTGAAATTATTTGTTTTTACATCCTTTGTGGCTGCAATTGCAGAATATTTCGAATCCATTTCTCTGAAATTCCAGACCACTCTGATAGAATTTCCTTTATTCCTGCTAAAAATCAAAGTACAGATTGAGACTATACAAGAATCGATTCTTAAAAATCACATCTAACGTGATGTTTAAATTCTCTTTAAATTATTGAATTTTTTCTTTATGTCTATCATTTTAGGAAATATATATTTAGAAATACACGGAATCTTCACAATGGCAAGCACATCAACAATTTTTTTTTTAATACACAAAATATTTGAAAAATCGCACATGTCACACACATGGTAGGTATATTTTACTTTTTACTATAGAATATCAAAGAGATCAGGCTCATACAGCCCAGTCTTTGGTAATAATATTTTTTATTAGTAAAATGTTTTTATCATCTTTAATCTTTAACGTCTAAGTTCAACGTTACAGCATTTTTTTAAACAATACTTTATAATAATAAAATAATAGATAACCGGGACTCCAAAATTAAATAACCTCAAATTGCTAACCTCAAACACAGGGGCGTAGCTACCGCCGTATCTGCCGTATTAATTACACGGAGCCCCGGGGCACAGTGGAAAATGGTAGAACAAGAGCATATCAAAAGTACTTTTTACGAATATCATAATTTGTTTGATTTTGTGATTTTATTAGGATCTCAAATAATCTAATTATAATATTCATTAAGTTTTTTTATCGAAAATGCACGAAGTTACATTTTTTTCATAGGTAGAAGTACATAGAAGACTGGAGTGCCGAACTCGAGTCTACGCATATACATATTTCAAAACCATATTGTGCAATATATATTGGGTACATATATGCAGTATTATACATTTTTGGAAAGGTTGTTTCATGCTTATTACGTTACAGCTTCTTAATTTCTAAAGCAGTGACAATTATGTCAGTAAGTAATTAAAAAGTGGCATACCTTATTTTTTACTTTTCTTTTTTTTCGTCTAAGGTTTTCAATATTACCCACGACTCCCCACGCGCAACTTTTTATGTTAATTGTTAGTCTAACTATTCAGGAACAGAATACAAAAAAAAACAGCTGCGGAAGTTTGCGGTTTTAGAAAATATAAGAAATAATGTGTGAAAAGTCGGGAAAAAAAAATCAGTATCTTTTGCGGTTTACCACAGACACCGTTCACAAGGACAATAATTATATTACTTTTGGAATATTTTATTTATTTAGCGATAACAAAGGAATCTTATCAAATTTGCACTCGTTATGCGTGAGAAATTACTAGATAATAATTATGTGGGTACCAATTTGATACTGGAAACAATTTGATATGGCAATACCGCACGAAGGTTTTTTTTTAAATTACACTTGCTCAGCGGAAATTACGGGTGTAGACGAAACATTTAATCAACATCGAAAATGCACGAAGTTACATTTTTTTCATAGGTAGAAGTACATAGAAGACGGGAGTGCCGAACTCGAGTCTACGCATATACATGTTTGAAAACCATATTGTGCAATATATATTGGGTACATATATGCAGTATTATACATTTTTGGAAAGGTTGTTTCATGCTTATTACGTTACAGCTTTTTAATTTCTAAAGCAGCGACAATTATGTCAGTAAGTAATTAAAAAGTGGCATACCTTATTTTTTACTTTTTTTTTTTTTCGTCTAAGTTTTTCAATATTACCCACGACTCCCCACGCACAACTTTTTATGTTAATTGATAGTCTAACTATTCAGTAACAGAATACAAAAAAAACAGCTGCGGAAGTTTGCGGTTTTAGAAAATATAAGAAATAATATGTGAAAAGTCGGAAAATAAAAATCACTTACCACTGATACCGTTTACAAGGACAATAATTATATTACTTTTGGAATATTTTATTTATTTAGCGATAACAAAGGAATCTTATCAAATTTGCACTCGTTATGCGTGAGAAATTACTAGATAATTAGATAATCCTATTGGACAGCTGTCGGAAGACGCACAAGAGTCTCGCAACAAAGACTACAGAAACATGCGACTTCATCATGCCAAAAAATGTTCCCGGTCTGCAACAAATGAAGATGTCTTTAAAATGCTTTTGTGCACGTCAGATCCATATATAACAAGTTTAAGAAAAGCATACTTAAGAAATGTAAAAAATCTTGAAGAAGAGGCAATAAGTCTTTTAAAAGTGGTACCTGAAAGTGAACGCACGTTTACTGACCCTGATCCTGAAGCAATATAGGTACCTACCAAAATAAAAATAATATTGATATTTAGTTATTAGTAATGTTTGTAACGAGTTATATCAATCTCTGAAGCTACAGGACCTAGTATAGTTTGTTTGTTCAGAAAAAAAAATATTTTTTATTTTTTATTAATTGGGTAATTTTGTATTTAACCATAGTTTTAACCTTTTTGGTCATTAAAACTTGTCTTTCTTTTGGAATTATTTTTTTTACCATTTTATTTTTGTGTTGACCCATTTTTTTAAATCTCTATGACATATAACATATATATGTATATAGAAAAACACTACAAATTATACATCATTTGAATTTCCAAACCTCACTGAATATTTGTAGCAAATTTCATTGCGGTACTACAAAAAATCATGAAGTTATACATTTTTGATCCGATAACGACCGATTTTGCCCACCGTGCGGGGCCCCAAAGTGCGTAAGCAAAAGAAATGACGAAAGACAAAAAAAAATCTTTTGTTCCCGTGCGAAGAGTGTGTTTCAAAGTTGGTAGCACCCTAAATCGGTTTCTTCAGATTGCGGGATTTTTCCGTTTACGTCATTTTAATTCGCACAGTTAATACAAATATTATTCTTTGTTTTTATTATTTATGATAAATCTTGCATTCATAATGCTATACTAAAAATATTTTCAGGGACAAAGTGGATTTTGAAACTTTTTTCTTTAAGAATATTTCTTTCTTTTGTGAAATATATTTATCCTTCATAAGGGAAAATAAATTTTATAAATTTTATACGGGGCCCGCCAAGACACGCTATCGTACTGATCAAACATATGCCTAAATATATTAACATGTGTAGCTACTGCTTATGCTACATCTCTATGTTAAGCTAAGTGCGTTCAAGCAACACACGCACAGCAGACAACGCTCACAGACACGATGGTGAATGTTTTGGGACGTTTCGGTACCTTAACTTAGCGCGACCACCTAGCGTACAGTTGGGTCATTTTAAAAGCCACATTTGACATCTAATAATCTGAGCTTGATAGTTATTTAAAAAAAAACATTAGTTCCCGAAATCAAACGAGATGTCGCTACGGTACGTTCTTGAATTCTCCATGACAACCCTTCCGGTTTCCTTGCATGTTTAAAAGTAAATTAGTTTACAAAACACAGTAAACAACCCATATTCTATTTTTACTCTTTGTATTTTCTTTATTTTTTTAAATACTTCCTCATTCTATTCTCTTTGGTATAACGTCATGAATTGATATTGAGATCCTTGAATTTTTGCTGCCATCTATACTCCATTCATTATAGCATTAGACAGAAATTAAATAAGGTTCTTTTTATGGTATACCTTGGGCCAAAATATCAATAATCATGTTACTCTTAAGACTAACGGCTAATTTGCTACATATCCACTTAAATACCAGCTGCTATACTTAACTGTTGTCATTTAAGCTATCTATTACACAAATTTATGAGTATTTGACTAACTTAAATTATTAAATAACTATTAAAATAAAAAGTGTGCATCTTAAAGAACCTAAAGAAGCAGGGTTGGATAGTTTCGGCACGATTCTCATGTCACTATAACTCTACCAAATTTAAAATGTTTCGTAATCTCTTCAAACGTTTCGGCAGTACAGTTTTTTTTATTTTGTCAGAGTATGATGTATTCATATTATAATTAAAAGCTATTTCTAAAATTAGTGAACATGTTGTTTTTGTGGAAATAAACAATGTAGCAAATAAAGGATTGTGGAGTAAACGTATAAAGTATTTTATTAATAAAAATAATATAATCCTTAATGACAGAGAAAATTTTAAAACAAAGATAATAAACAAAACAATAACATAGCAACCAAAATCATTTCTCTATGACTGGACGTATCGGTATTCAACCTTTATTTTTAACACGCCCCCTGAATACCCATACGTCTTAAACAGTACTCAAACTTTGGCCTTGGCAGACCTTTTGTGAGGGCATCAGCTGGCATGGAATTAGTTTCCAAATAAGTGATGAAAATCTCTTTAGATTCCGCTAGTTCTCTCACAAAATGGTATTTGATGTTAATGTGTTTCGATCTTCTACCTACAGCATTAGAATAAATCAATTTTGCAGCACTTTGACTATCACTAAACAATTCTACTGACACTTTAACACCAGTTAATTCTTCATATAAACCTTTCACAGATATAATATGTTTAGCAGCCTCGCAAGCAGCGATATACTCAGCTTCTGCTGAGCTTAATGCAACGCATCGCTGTTTAAGTGCCTGCCATGCTATTACAGCGCCACCTAAAACAAGCATATATCCCGTAAACGAATGACCATCTTCATTTTTACCCCAATCTGCATCACAAAAAGCACATAACGGTTTTCCAGTTTTCTTATATATTAAAACATTATTC